GATTTTGAGACCCTAAAAGATTTTCATTTTTTTGCCGATAAAATAAATACGAAGTCGAAAAAAACGATTGTGTCAAATATTGAAAAAAAAAAATTAAAATGTTCCAACATTATTGCAACTTAATGCATCACTTCAGCTACAAAGTGCCACTTGTGAGTCCCGAGAAAAAGTTAAATAAGATTATAAACTTGGCAGCATGGCTGCATGGCGTGTGAAGGCGCGTGCGGTCGGAAGGTGAGGATACCTTTCGCGCGCTTTTCGGTCTCAACCGTGTCTCGCGTCCGCTATCAGCTGAGGAGGGTTGTCAGATTGTGTGATAAAATGTGAATATTTCATAAGGGCTTAAATAGAGGGGAAATCTGATTTTTTGTACCATCTGACACCAATAACCGAGCCCCTTTTCTGCTCTCTCTGAAGCTGCGATTGTTTATGTTAGTTTGCATTATCAAGCACCAAGTGTTGCATGTAGAGTGATATAGTTTTTTGACATTCCGTGCGTTTGATCCAGGATGAGCTGTAACAGCGCGAGACGACCTTTCACCGTGTTCGTGGAGGGCAATATCGGGAGTGGCAAGTCAACTTTCCTGTCCTATTTCAATGATTTTGCTGATATTTTCGTCGCCCTAGAACCAGTACATTTGTGGCAGGACGTCAATGGACACAATATATTGGTACACAACTTCCGCATTACATACCTAACCTAGATGAACCCCTTTTAAATGTTAATTAAGGCATGGAGTGCATAGAGGGCATTTCTTGGTTGCACTAATTTATATTTTAGAGGGAAATTATTGAATGAATTTTCTGAAATTTTTCGTTTTCAGCATCTGCGCCCAGCGCTTCACTCAAGTAACTATTGTCTCTTGGTTCATCATTTTAATATTTTCTATACTACACAGAACGCTGCTATGGATTATGCAAAATTACAGGTTCATGTTAAATCATCAAATTTTGCAGTTTTCATTTGCACGCAAATTTGTTTTCTCTACCTGAGACTACTTAGAGTGCTTACAGAGCTGATTTCGCAGTATTTTTTATAATGTTTTTTTCTGAAATGGGAAATGGTATAAAAATAGATTATAAGACGAGAAAATGCAGCTTAGTGAAGTCATCGTGCGACATTTCCCATCTAAACGCATGCATGTTCGCAGATTACTTTATTTAAAATACGGGAATTTACATGGTAAAACCGAGAGGGCAACAGTAAAGAGTAGCATAAGTTGCGTTTTGTTGTAATGAAGGCGCAACATTTGTCCATTTTAATGCCTGTACTATACTCGTGTTGCGCTGCAGTTAATTATTAACTTCATTATGGAAAAGCACTGAGAGGAACAGTGTTTTTACTGGACTCGTATTGTTCTTCCAGCCTGTAAGTCATCAGAAACTCACAAGCACACACTGCACACTGAAAAAAAGTGAAGTTGATTTCACATTCTGGATTGAAAAAAAAAGTGTGCGCAAGCTTACAAAATGAATAAGGATTAACTCATAACTGCTACAACAATTACTTTAACAATCTCAAGATGTGAAACTAACTGCCGTAGCGGGTAATTCATTTTGTGAGCTCTCGCGCACTTTTTTTTACATCCAGAATATTAATAAGCAATGTTATAAAGCAACCTTTTTTCGCATACCCACCAGGAATTGATGTATGAGACTCCATTGTTGTGGAGCTTTGCGTTCCAGTCTTTGGTTCAAAAAACTATGCTCGACATTCACACTGCCAAATGCTCACAGCCCGTGAAAATGATGGAAAGGTCTCTCCAAAGTGGCAGGTAATTGATATTCAAAAAAAGTGCACCCCTCTAATTTTTATTTTTTTTTAACCTAAGACAAACAAAATATCTCAAATGGTATTTTTGGCTTATGAAGAAGGTACCTAATCGCAATTTTTATAAAAAAAAAATTAGGTATACCTAATGATATTTTGAATAAACCTTCGTTCGAAGTAAACTTTGCAAAGTAAAAATCGTATGGAACTACTACTTCGAGCTCATTTTAGAAACAACGTATGTGCATTAAGTATCCTTATGAAGAGATAGATGTTCCTATGGACAGGGTCGGACTGGCTCGCATCTGAGGGCGTAGACCCTTGGCTGGTTCAAGGGGCGTAATGAGACATTTCCGGTAGGGCATCCCCTACGTGGAGAGGGGTTCAGAAAATTTTGGCAAAGCAGCACAAGTTTACGCTATTTTCAGATTCAACGTGTATTAATCGTACAGAGTAAAATTTGCAAAATTGAATGCTTCGAAGTAACCGACAGACTTCTATATTTAAAAAAAAAAAAAAAAAAAAAAAAAAAAAAAAAAACCATAACTATTAAAGTCACTAGACGCAACCAAGCACCATTATTTCCAAAAGGACCGAGCCAGTGCTGCGGTTTACACGAGCTTAGGGCGTGGGTCTGCAAGTCCATCCGAATCAGACAAGAACCTGAAAGAAAAGGAAAGAATGAGTATCGACACAGCCGAAGGTAGGAGAGATGTGTTCGGGTCTCTTTTTTGACTTTTCTTCCGAATCTGAGCAACACCTCATTGACAGCATATTTCAGAGCACTGAGAAATCACGCTTCCCGTCATCGCGCCTTCAATTCTTCAGACGCAGCACGGACGTCCATCAAGTACGAATAGTTGTATCTCTGCGCCGTCGTAACGCGCATTCTTTCCCTCGCTTTATTTCCATATTATGTTTGTTTGCGTCTATCTAATTCGTAATGGTGCTTCAAGCACTACGTGAGTAACACAGGCGAAGGTAGGAGAGATGTGTTCGGGGATCTTTTTTTAACTTTTCTTCCAAATGTGAACGACACCTCATTGACAGCACATAGCAGAGCATTGAGAGCTCACGCTTCGCGTCATTGCACCTTCAATTTTTCAGATGCAGCACGGACGTTCATCAAGTACGAATAGTTGTATATCTGCGCCGTCGCCCGTCGTAGACGCGCATCCTTTCCCTCGCTTTATTTCCATGTTGTGTTCGTTTGCGTTTTTCTTATTCGTAGTGGAGCTTCAAACTAGTAGCGTAGAGCAGAGTATTGCGAGTTCACGACTCACGCCATCTCGTCTTACATTTTTCATATGCAATGTGGACATCCATCTTGCGCGAATCGTCATATCGCGTTTACACTTTAGATGCCTCTTATTTTTGAATTTCGAGATAAATGAAGGTTATGTTTGCCTGAGATATGCTATGGTATGTCCAAATCAATAATCATTTTGAAAAGGAAGAAATATGTTTAAAGGTCTCTCAAGAGGTCTACAAAGGGTGCGTATGTCTAAAAATCGAACAGACCTTCGCTTCTAAGGGAGTTACACAGAGCGAATGAAGGAGGGATGATAAAGCGCCTGTATGTCGACAAAAAGGTAAAAATTCCACAGAGAAGTATTTATACTTCAGAAAGTAGTTCTAGGACCTCTGTTCACCACTATCATACGAGAATGCCCCTTTCTTGACTCCTAACTCTCTCCTGTTCTGTTCATTTACGAAATTTTCCGCATATATTCTCGGTCGTAATTTTTTCCCTCTTCTTATTTTGCTATCTGTCAGAGGGGCGCGTTTTCCGCGCACCAAGGGGGCGTATCTGCCAATGGCAGATTGGCCTTATTATGGCCAGTCCGAGCCTGCCTGTGGATGAGCCAGAAATAGTAAGGTTTCCATATTGTACAAAATGTGGTTGAATTGTGACTCAAATATAGGCTAAAAACTAAATATGACTTTTCAATTTAATACTCGTTTTTATTTTATAAAAATCAGAGAAATTATTTTCAAATTTCTCATTGTGTCACAGGTTTCTTTTAGTTTATTTTTTGCCCAGCTGAGATTTTCATTCGTGATATTTTCGGGGAAAAACCCCGTCGTTTTTGCAAGGACAAATTTAAGCTGTTGTAGGTGTATTCGAGTGGTTGCCACACGGAAATTGTATTTTTAAAGTGGCATTAACCTTGACATAGCGCTTTTCTTTGTTTACAGGCATGTTTTTATTGAAAATCTATATCGGCAGAATGTAATGGCGTCTGCTGAGTACACCGTGCTGACCTCTTTTTACGAATCGATGCTGAAGAATTTCGATGTCAACGGAGACCTGATAAGTGAGTTGCTTCCTTCAACTCGCGTTAAACCACACCGCACACAGCCAGTCTAGAGATCAAAAAATTGCACGCTTCGTTTCCACGTGCAACGATGCGGACTTAATAACTGCATTCATATACGTCCGTAACATGAGATGATTTTCCTTCAATTTTGTGTGATACCACATACCTGCTCCGGAGTTCAAATAGTTGCTCGCTTCATTTCTGCCTCTTGAAGAGTGAGCAATTGAGCATTGGCGCTAATTTCATCTCAATATTGCGAAAATTACAGTATTTAACCAGCGGTTTCGTTGAATCTTAAACAATTAAGGGCTTCTAATCTCTGAATCACGGAAAATGCGCGATTTTTCTGGGGATTCTGGAACAGGAATTAGAAATTACGCGATAATTACTGCAATATCACGGCAAACACGCAATATTTCTCGCGGGTTCGTAAGAGCATTATAATTGCGCGTTATTCACCGAAATATATTTCCTGTTTAATTAAGAAAGTAAAGGATCACAACATTTTCACATAAATATCGCGGCAAATACGCGATTTTTATATCAATGCGTGCATGATACTTATAAACGTTCGTAACTTGAGGTAGGCGAAAACCTATGATTTTCCTTCAATTTCGCACATACCTACTCCGGAGTTTCAATAGTTGCTTGCTTGATGATGCTGTGAAAAAGTAGGGATTGGTGCCGGCTTCTTCTGAAAATCGTGTGAGGTACCTACGCGATATTTCCAAAGGATATTATTGCTAAATCAAAAGATATTCCTCGGTTTTCATCTCGGTATCGGAGGAAAATGCGCAATTTTTTCAGTAATTTTTTTAAACGAGAAATTACTCAATATCGAGACAAATGCGCGAATTTTCCGAAGGTTTCTAAAAATATTTAAAAATTACGCGTATTCATACAGATACAGCGGTAAATCCCAGTGGATCATAGAGAAAAAAAAGGTGTTCGCATTTCGGGCATCTTGAAATTTTTTTGATGACGTAGGTCGGTGCAGCGACGTTTATCATTGATTTTCTTGGAAATGGTGTAATTTATGGAAAAAAGTCATTCTATAAAAAGAGCTTGAAATTATATCATGAGTTGATTTAAGCAAAAAATGGGACATTGTGGTCCGTTTTTCATACTTCGAATTCTGGATTTCGCTAGCCAGGTTGTACCGACCTACGTCATAGGGTGAACAAACCTCAAGATGCAAACACCTCCTTTTTTTCTCTATGCCAGCGGATAAACAATATCACAAAAAAGGCACACTTTTTTCACCTCGATATTGCGGAAAACACACGAGATTTATACTAATGCGAGAAAGTTATTTATAAACTTCAGTAACTTCGGATATGCGTAAACATACGAGTTTCCTTCAATTTCGTGTGATACCACATACCGACTCCGGTGTTCGAATAGTTGCCCGCTTGATTTCCGCGTGTGAAAAAGTAGGGAATGACGCGAGTTTCTTCTGAAAATCGCGCGACGTGCGCGATATCCTAAAGGCTTCGCTAGTTCAAAAGAAATTACTCTCTTTTCATCTCGGTATCGGAGGAAATACGCCATTTTGTAAGCGATTTTGTCAATAAGTTGAAAAAATACCCGGCAATCACCTCCATATCGCGATTTTTTCCAACGCTTTTGTAAAATCTTTAAAAATTACGCGTTCTCACTTCAATGCAGCGTCATGACCGCGAATTTCCCATCGGAAGAGTAAGCAGTTCACAGAAAGTCTCACTAGTTTCACCTCAATTTCGCAGAAAATATGCGATATTTATATCCATGCGAGCAAGTTTTATATAAACGTCAGACCCAACTTCGGATATGCGAAACCCTATGATTTTCCTTCAATTTCGTAAGATACCACATCTCTACTCCGGAGTTCGAATAGTTGCTTGCTGCGTTTCCGCGTGTGAAAAGACGGGGAACGGCGCGAGTTTCTTCTGGAAATCGCGCTAAGTACGCAATATCTCCAGCGAATTTGCTAAATCAAAAGAAATCGCTCGGTTTTTATCCCGACATAGAGGGAAAGACGCGATTTTTCAAGCGATTTTGTCAAAAAATTGAAAAATTAGGCTGCAAGCATCTCCATGTCACGGGAAATGCGCACCCTGGTAAAAATTGGCGATAGGAGCTGCGTTTCAAAATACCATAGGAGTTCTTATAGCCGACTGAAGAGGGCGATAGAAAATCATATAGCTGGCTGTAGAAAGTGGAAAATATCATACGGCCGGGCTACACGTGAAGCGATAAAAAATTATACAGCCGGGCTACGCCCGAAACTTTCGAATCAAACCGACATTGTTATTTATGACGGTCTAAACTTTAAATTTCAAGACACGTGAATTCTAAAAAAAGCTCATTTTATAATTTTATCTGCTTCAATCGGGGCTGAGAATTCTCGGATGGAATACAACTTCCGCCTCAACTACTGTGAACATCATCTAAACCACTCGTAGCTTATTGTTAAGGACACAGAAGAAAATTTACCGTCCAGAACACAAATTTCGATTTTTCAACTCGAGCAGACAAAACAGTTCTCTCTCGCTGTATACTTAGGCCCCTTTTCCGCGGGATGATCACAAGTTAAATTAACGTTATGCTAAAAGGAACTATGTGCATGGGATTTGCGTGAAACATAGTTCCGTGTAGCATAAATACGTTCAAATTAAATAAAGGAGGTCTCTCATAAGAAACAATTCTAATCCATACCAATAAAACAGACTTTTAGAAGAAGAGAGTCTTCGTATGTTGAGACAAATATCAATCTCTGATTAGCTCTGAATCAGCACCACGCAATAGGTTAATGCATTCAGTCAGATAACACAACTGTGGTTACACAGACATATTGTACTTGACTTTTGACTCCATACGATGACTCTGCTCTAAGATTAGCAGAATCTTTCCATATCACTGCAATGCACCTGTAGCACCCTCGCATGTATGTGCAAGACTCTCGAGTTTTAATTTGCATAAACATATCGACGGTGTAAGTCCGCAACCACGTATCTCCATTGGCGGATCCAGCAACTTGGCAACATCGGCTTTCCTCCATTTAAACCTTATTATGGAAATGTATCGATTCTTGGAGGGGCTAGACGTTCCGACAAGAATCGATTATTTAGCATAGTTTTTAATGGAGAGAATCCGGTGTTGCCAAATTGCTGGATCCACCTCTGCGTATCTCGGTTTGCGACGTCGCAGACTCCCTGTCGTTATCTTCATTTTGTAAACGGAAAACAACTCGACGGCAATTTTTTTAAAACTGCCGTGATTTCTCTTCTCTGACTGAAAAAATGTCTGCAAAAACTTCAAGGAATGATGCCAATTTGTTCTCCTTTAAAAAAATAATGAAGAAGCGGGGATTTTTAGATACCACAAAGGGTATACACGTATGGTTGCGGACTTACGCCGTCGATACACTCGCATCCTCCTAGAACCTCTGTGGGGGCGGATCACGAGTCAAATATGATACAAATTGTTCGTGTGTTTACTTACGGTAGACCCTGGTAAAAATTGGCGATAGGAGCTGCGTTTCAAAATACCATAGGAGCTCTTATAGCCGACTGAAGAAGGCGATAGAAAAACATATAACTGGCTGTAGAAAGTGGAAAAAATCATACGGCCGGGCTACACGAAGCGATAAAAAATTATACAGCCGGGCTATAGTTCCTATCGCCGGGCTTTACACTTTATCGCCTGGCTGTTGCTTTTTCGCCATCGGCTATAAAAGGTTATGAGAAATTGTGTAGAAATTCGTGTGCTTTGTAAATCCTTAAGTTTGTACGGAATCACCTTAATATTTACAAAGCGCACATTATATTTTCCTTCACTACATATTTTTTTCTCTCATCAATTAAAATGAGAATAATCCATACAGAGTGTGCAAACATTTCAAAGTCATGAGTTGAAAAACGCTGACTCCATAAGATTAAATATTAGAGCCTAACACAAAGCGGAGCGGCGGCACACTGGCGCCTACAAACCTAACAGGGATACTTCACGCATTGCGCAATGCGTGAAGTATTCCTGTTAGGTTTGTAGGCGCCAAAGCGCGTTTCGCGCTAGCTGCCCGCCTGCCGCGCCGCAGCGTGCCACGGCGCTTGAAGCAACTATTTCACACCAGAGGTATTGCACAGTATCGTACGAAATTGAAGGTGCTCCAACATATAAGGAATGGCAGGCATTCTTCAAAAGTACGGAGCTTCCCTCGCAAAATAAATCAAGATACTACGGCCCAAAAAGAGAGCGGTAGTCCAAAAACTCACTAAGTCCTAGCATCCGTAATTAGTAACGGATAGCATACACTTTATCGTCAGGCTGTTGCTTAATCGCCATCGGCTATAAAAGGCTATAAGAAAATGTGTTGCCGGCTATAGAAGCTATTGGAAATCTTACAGCCGGCTGTAGGTCTATGGTATTTTGGAACACAGATTCTACTGCCAATATTTACCAGGGCAATTTTTCTAGCCTCTCGGATCTTGCAAGCGATGCATGAAGTACATACCTAACTTGGATTTTCATGTTTACAGTTTATTTGAGGTCGGATCCTGAGGTCGTTTACAACAGGATGAGAGAGAGGGGTAGAACTGAAGAGAACCAAGTATCTCTGGAATATTTGAAGCAAATCCATCAACTTCACGAGGACTGGCTCGTTCGAAAGACGGTAGTGGGAAATTTACCTCCGGTAAGACCGCTTTAAATGAGAATGAATTTTTTCGCTAGAGATTTCAAAAAATCTACGTTTCAGACGTGTTTACTCTGGGAAAATGGGAATCATCAAAGACAGAAAATAAGAGAAATCCGTTTCACAGAAAAGTTTTGTTAGTGGTTCCTTCTTTGTCGTAGATCTCGTTACATAGTATTACGTACTGCCGTGCTAAGGAAGAACGCCGTATGAACGATCGAGAGTTGTCAAATTTCCTTCGATAGAATGTTTATTTATTAAGAAATGTATGAAAGTGCCCCTTGAAATTTTCAGGAACTTTAGGTAAAATTGCGAACTAAATTATCTGAAAAATTGGGAGGAAAATAACAAAATAGGTATATTCATGAGTTTACCACGAAATTTGTGTTTTATCATAGGAAATTTAGCAACGCCTAAAGGTTCATGCGGCGTTTTTCCTTAGCACGGCAGAGTAGGGACCTTCAACAAAGAAGAAACGACTGAACAATTATGCCCCATCAAGAAAATAAACTTTATCCTGAACAAGTATGTTGTCACATTGATGAAAATGCTAATGGATCACTAGACAAGGCACGAAGTTAAGCATTCGGAATGATGCAGGCATGCATTCTGATTGCAAGTAAGAATCTCATTTACCAATTTATGTAACTTTGTTTATCTTTGTCTTTATTGAAAAGGCTAATGTTTTCTCTCCTAGGTTTTGATCCTGGACGCGAATAGCAGTCTCGCAACGATGGAAAAGGAGTTTAAAAAATGTGAAAATATAATTTATAGTCGCTTAAATCAATTAGATTCTGCGCAGTTAAGCAATGCGTCCACGCCTGATATCCTTACTATGGTCTAAAACGTATCACATTTATCTCATAAGTTCATTCATATTCGAACAAAGTGTATTATTTAGTGTTTTTCTTCATCTATTTGAAGAAACTACTGTATTATTTCGTATTTTTACCTCTTGATTTATTCATTGTACATATTGTTACCTCTATTTTTAAACCCCCCCCCCCCCCCCCCCCAATGAAAAATGAAGAAAGTAAGTTTTATACAACCGGTGTTTTGTTTTAAAATACCGCACCCTCAATTCTATTAGAACCAGAGTGCTGTAACTGGACCTGTTGTACAAAAGCCAATCAAGGAAATGATCGAAGTATCATTCCAAGTTGTTGGCGTGTTATCAATGTAGGGAAATAATGGAGCTGATGCGAGATTCATTCAATAATTTTAAAATGATAAAATTTATTATTTCCAATTATAAAATAAAAAACGATAGGGAAACTTGTGGCGGTATTTGAATTTTCTCAAAATTTGGTAATAATCCTCCAATTATCTTCCATTTATTGTTAAGAAAACTAATAATAATGTCTCCTTGCATATTTGCACTTATGATTTCTTGCACAGATGAAAATTCATAATTTTCATAGAATCTGTTGCTTAGTTTTCGTTTAAAAAATAGAACATAGAAACTTGCAACGTTGCAATCTGCAAATACACATTTTCTTTATTTTAGGCATCACATTAATATGTGACCGTTCACAAGTTGCTTTCTTTAGTTGACATGATAAAAATTTCAGTAGAACTATATTTTGTTGAGTTGAATTAAATCAAAAGGAATTATAAGCATGCGGTTTGCTTGTTAGATATGTACATAGTACCATTTGACTTTAGTAATTTTCAAATCGTTCCTTTTAGCATATATGTGTCCAATTATGATCTGTAGTGAGAAGTTTTAAAATCGGGAAATTTCGTGCTTTAGGCATAGCAGATTAGAAGTTTAGGTAGCTCTCCTTCAAAACTACGTTTTTTGAGAAGCAGACCATTAAGTATAACTGTTTGGTTTGACATTTTTGGAAGTGTTTAATGCCAAAATGTTTGTCGAACACACTTTGTACTCTGGTATATATTATTTAATTTGAAATTTTTGTGAAATTAATTCTTAATATAAAGTACAAAAGAGTTTAAAGAAATAAATTTTTTATAGAACTAAAGTAACATATTTAGTTTATTTCATTATCCTGGCATTATTATGGGCAAGGCTCTTTGCTATCTTAGCTTAGAACAGGTGAATTGGAATTTTGCACATAAAAGGCAGAGCTAAATTTTCTTAACACCTTAAAAAGATCGGAAAAATCTTCCGAGGTTTCAGAATTTGCTTTGACTTTTTTGGTACTTTTATTCTTTAAAAGATCATCAGATTGAAACTGATCCGACAATTTATCACAACAGCTGCATTTTTTTGAAGAAGAGTCAAGACTTAGCGTTTTTTCCAGCTTCCTCTTGAAAATTTCATTCATATTCATTCCGTAGCTATCATCCGAACAGTTCTCTTCTCGATCGCTGCCTTTCCTTTCTGTATCATTCACAATCTTGGAGTCGGGAAAAGTCTGAGTTTCATACTTTTCAGTTTGAGCCTTAATTTCTCTCAAAATCGCAATTAATCTAAAAGTACAGAAAGAGTTGAAAATAACACAAGGAGAAACACAAAAAGAGCATTAGGTATTTTTAATATTTACGGAGGTAGTTTAGCGAAGAGAAAAATCCCAGCTTTATGAAAATTTCTAAGAGAGGGTGATATTGAATCAGAGAAAAGCAGAAAATGTTGAAACAAGATGATTCGTTAAGAAACAAAGCCAAGAAATTCCAAAAATTAAAATTAGAGTCAAAATTAAATTTTTTGAACTCTAATGCGCACCAGTACGAAACTGACCTCAGTACAAACCTCAGTTTCGTACTGGTGCGCATTAGAGTTCAAAAGATTTAATTTTGACTCTAATTTTAATTTTTTGAATTTCTTGGCTTTGCTTCCCCGCGAAATGGTGTGGAACCAGCACCAATTCTCCACCTTGTTACATACAGTTCGGGCCACTTCTAAGTGTTTTTATTTTTCGTTCGTCCAGAAATTGACCAGAATTGTTGACAGAATGTGGTCAGTATGTTGGTTGGTCTAACTCTTTGTGAGCTATCAGTAAGACTTGAGAAATCAGAGTTAGAAAACACATCTTGAGGGTTGAAGTGTGAAACCAAATCTCTCAGTTTGTGATGTTGCGGACTTCCTGTCATACTTCATTTTTTCTGAGGAAAACTGGTCAAGATAATTTCGTGAATACTTCCTCTATTTTTCCTCTCTTCCAGCAGAATATTCTGTGTAAATTTTGAGCTGTAACTTTGGCTTGTTTATTTAAAAAAAAAATAAATAAAGTGGAAATTTTTAAACATTGCAATCGCTTCAAACTTTGGCTATTAATCTATACAGTCAATTATCAGACTTATTTTAAGATTAATCAAGGAAGCGTTAATTTATTATAATAATATATAAATTATTAGTAGTATAGTATAAATTATTCCGAATGTCAATGGGTAAAACCTTTAGATCCCATTTTATTTTTTTATATTTTCTTCACCTGACAAGAAAATCATTAAGTTTCAGGGAGTAATAATTGTTTCAGTTAAGCATTCGGCCATATCTTGAAATTCATGAATGACACTTACATTTTAAATTTTCGAAGACCGATCATCCTTATTTGTACAAGAAATGTGTTGTTTTTTTTTCAGCTTTTTTATGCTTGTGAGATGAGATTTCATTTTAACTTCACTACAATGAACAAGAGAATGATAAAATCATGAACATGGAAAGAACAGATCCATATACTTACTGAGGTAGGTTAAGTCGGTGAATGAATAAATTAATTTTCTGAAGAGTTGAATTTATTTCCATCAGAATTGTTTTCTCTACCATGATCAATTCCCCATTTGGTTCTCTCAATGCATTTTCTACGGCTTGGGTCGTCCTCTGTTTATAAAAACCAGGCTCAATACTTGGGGTTTTGTTTCTGTGAACAGAACATAAACTTTACAATTACTTATGCATTAAAAAATGAAAAAGAATGCAACATCTGTGGGTGTCAGAATTGTGCAATGAATGAGGATATTATTTAGAGAAAGGATTTTGGATGGCATAAGAAACTAGCAGAGACGAGATAATCTCAGTCACAGTAATAGGAAAACTAGAAGAACGACAGAACGAAACTCTTCCAACGACAAATTACAAAGTAAAATAAAAGAACCTGCCTCATTGAATGTTGATGATTTTTCGATTTTTCAATACTAGTGAGATTCTGGATTATGTTTAATTTACACAGGGGGTGTTGCTGATCGTATTCAGACCAATCACTTGAGTTTTGATATTTTGAAGAGATGAAAGGATCAATTTTCGTCCATTGCCACTGGAAAAGAGGGGAACAAAAGACGTGGTAAGAACATTTCAACTAAAAGCAAATAACTAAATCTAACAAATGAACAAAAAGGTGCAGGAAAAAAAAACTGAACAAACACCATGATTTTAAAACATGGTGTCTAGAATTCTTGGCTATACACATTCCCTGATTTTTAGGAGCTCATTCCCTGATGAGTTATCGAACTTTTCTTCCACTGTGCCATGATTTTCTTAGGAAAAACGATATGAGGACTTATATGTGACAATAGCGGTTGCTGACATCTGCTATTTTTAGAGATAACGCTTTTTCCGAATTCTGGAGCCTTCAAGAATGCCTGTGCGAAGTTTCAGACCTCTAGCGCAATTTGTCAGCAAGATATGGACTGAAAACCATGTTTTTTGTAAAAGCAGCGGATACGAGAATCCACTGTTCTCCCCGGCGCGGCAGGACACCTTTAAGATTCAAACGCACTTACGATAACTGCCCGCGCACCGGCCATGGGCCTGCAGCTGACACTCAAATGATACGTTCGGGACTGTCTCGCCAGAATTGTTGATTTTATAATTGATTTTGTAATGTGTATTTTGTTCCTTATTTTTGTTGTAGAAGTTACAAGCGGTTTAGTTTTTTGTTCAATTTTATTAAATGACTCAGCATTGACTTACTTTTGGTTCGTGTTAATTGTCTCACCAGCCTTACCCTTCCTGAAACTTTGTTTCATGCATAGAAAAATGTTCTCAGTAAAAATAGTGGATGTCACTTTTTTTTCAAGTCCTGTTACTCCTCCAATTTTTTACTTACATAAATGGTAAAATGCGTGTTTTTTACAGGAAGAGTTGCACTTCATGAAACTCTTTATAAGAATCCTCTCACTTCTACAGGCGGCAAAGTGCAAAGCTTCGAAAACTTCAAACACGATTTGCTCACAGTGTGAAAACTCGACATATGCTAATGTTACATATAAGTCCTCATATATTGACGGTGTAAGTTGCCATTCATATAACTTCCTGCAACGTCGCAGACTTTCTGTCATACTTAATTTTTTAAACGGGAAACTACTCAACAACAATTCTTTATAACTGCCGTAATTTTTTTTTCTCTGTGCCAAGACAATTCTGAAAAAACTTCAAGGAATGATGTCAGCTTCTCTCATTTTTCATTTTTTTTTTCAATTTTTTCATTCAATTTTTTCATTTTACCTGACTCAGCATCCTATTCTTTATATTAAGTCATTAACTTTTGTAATCGTTTTCAACATCACAGGTTTATTTCTTAATATGCTGGATGGGTCTGTGAGATTGGACAGATTTTTCTTAAAACTATACTCCACATTCCAATCCAAAGATGAAACTGTGAAACAGCCATTGTCAAGAAGAACAAGTCACGAGTGTATAGGGGTGCGTCCCAAAGCTAATTGTACATTTAACTTCCAGTTAAGATGGAAAACACAACTGACTTATAAAGTACGATATCTCCTAGTAATATACCTGCAAAGCTTACTATCCATGATACAGCACTTCTATCTATCCAATTTCGTGCAACTTTTTACTTCCTGCCTTTGCAAGGCAAGTAGTTTGTAACTTATTTCTTTTTTCCTTAAAAAAAAATAAGAGCTAAAATAAGAGTTGTTCCTCACAGATGAAGTCTCAAAAATCACGATGAGCGCATCGGCAAACTCTGAAATGCACTCCTACCTTCACAATCTGCATAAAGGGCCAGATACATACACCTGCGCGCTACACGCGCGTCATGACCCGAAACGTAGGATCTGATCCTACTTTGAGCAAGTTACAAGTGGCGAGCTGCGACCTGATTGGCTACAAAAATTGCCGAACACGGCCGAAGGCCTACTCGCCGCTCAAGACGCGCGTCTAAATCGCAGGTGTACCTACCCCTTAAGAAATTTGCGTTTTTATAAGCTTCCTGCTTCCAAAATGATACTACGCACAGGAGAACATTTTGTTAGAGGAATCGTTCCATTCAATCCTTGCTCAACAAGGCCGACGCTTCTGCGCGGAAGTTGAGGAGAGCACGAGGTCAATCAAGGCGGATATCTATCAAAGCGAGAAAAATGTGAGTGTAAACACGCCGATTGTTATCAGGTGGTTAGAATCATCGTCCCGTCACATGTGTTTAGGCAGATTGGCATCGGCTATGTTGAATATTGCATGGTATCCTTGTGAGCAGGGGGTGGATGGAATGACTCCTCTGACGAAATGTTCACCTGTGCCATGATATCGTTTTTGAAGCAGGAAGCTCGAAAAAACGCAAATTTCTTATGCAAACTGTGAAGTAAGGAGTGCATTTCAGACTTTGCCCATGTGCTCCTCATGATTTTTGAGACACTTTCTATGAATAACAGCTCTTATTTTTGCTCTAGCAAAAGTTTGCAATAGGCCCATTTTGAGGTCAGTCCGATTTTTCATCAGAACAGTTAATATTTTTGGAGAAGAGTACCTGCACTGGTGAAATTCTGTTGTTCAAAACCAGCATGCTCAAAATCTCATCGAATATGATACAGTCTAGATCATTGAAGCGTAGATCCACTATCTGAAGTGCTCTGTTCACTTGCAGCACACACTTAATTATCTCTCCTCCAATATTCGAGATTCCGCAATCTTGTAAGTCAATTGCTGCAGATTTAAAAATCAGAGGTGAATTTCAAATTTAGCAAGGGATAATATCAAAGATGAAATACTGATCATAGTTTCATGTCGACCGTGAAACTGTAAAAATGTGTATCTCGGTTGCATTGTTTCAAAATTTGCGTTCCAATTCAATTTTTTAAAGAAAGACAAGACCAACCCTAAGGCTTCAAAATTCCACAGAATATTCTTCGTATAGAGAAAAAATATCACCGTGTTTATTAAGAAATGACGTCAGAAAAATAAAAATAAAATGAAAAAAATAAAGGAAGTAAAAGAGTGAAGAAAGTGAAGTAGCTACAGGAAGTTTGCAATGCCATAAACCGAGATATGCATTTTTGCAGTTTCACCATTGGTATACAGATGACTAAAGCCAGAGTTAGACAAACTGAATGGATGCTATCCACTTTCATCCTACCTTTAATTTTTTAAGCATGGAAGAAGGTAAAATTCCACCTTAAAGTTTTTTTTGATATTTTCAATGATCTACCTAGAGTAAATTTACCGAGAATTTGGAAGCGTTTTGTTGCTTAGTATTTACTTTAAAATATAACATGAGCGGAAACATAGAGGGAAGAGTTCAGGTTTGCACAATAAAATATTTTCTCTTCAGCTTTTTCAATTGATAGATCACGAAAAAGGGGTTGGTAATGGGCTTTTAGGCGGTTTGAATTGAAGCAATACGCATCATGGTTTCTCTTCAAAAATGGTAGAAAAAAATTGCACAACCAGAAGGCTGGAAATCAACTCCTTACCAAGAATTAAGTGTTACCAATGGACACTGATTGTATGGTGGAGATACAAAAAATATCAATTGTACTATCTAACTTCCATTTGATCTATGTCCATTTCCAAACATCCGATCGCGTGAATTATTTGCTACGTTTTTGGAAGAGGACATATTACTTATTTATATAGCTTAGACCTCGTCCAAAGGCTGCTTGAAAATTTTGACCCATCTTCAGGGGCCCCCAAAAGTAGCCCTCTATTCATCAAATTAGACCTCAAAACGATGAATAATTGACCAAACCATTATGTGACTTATTAGCTCTACTAAAATATAGAAACATTTTTACCTTTCAGACACACATCATCCAGTAAATGCATAGCAAGATGATCTATGCCCAAATCTCCTATCATAGGATTTTGATTCAAAGTGATACGTTTCAAGCCATCGCTATTTACTGTTCCTTCTGTGTTGGCTGGATGAGAAGTCGGAGACCAAACTTCCCTGGAGCTAATTGACGAATGCTCCTGAAAATGAAAAAATTACATTTTTGACTGAGAATCGGGTATGTAATTACTTAATTAAGGAAAAAGAGGGCTTGAAGCTGAAAATTTATATATTAAAAAATGTTACCTCTGCTTGGAGGAGTGGTTTATGAAAATCTTTGTATAATGCTGTGAAACCTAACTGTAGTTCGGTATAAGCAAAATAAAAAAGAATGATGAAATGAATAAAATTATTCTAATTTTTATAGTGTTATAGAAATAAAAATTAATAACTTCTTTAGTTAAAAGCCGCAATAAATAAAGAAATATAAAAATTTAGTTAGAAACTGGTTTTAGCACTGTAGTGCTGACATTTTGAAGTTCCTAGTTTGAATTTTAGTGTCAAGGAAAAGCTCTGCACTGATAATAGCAGAAACTGAAAAAGCCTGTAAAGTTAGACAATAAACTGTGAATGTAAAATTAAGGCAAAAACACAAAGTAAAAACGTTTAAAACCAAATTTCGATTTGACACATTTTTGTGTTGTGTCTTTACAACTACATATTCCCAGTTTTGATCCGCCTAGCTCAAGACACAAAACATCAAATTTTAATGCACTATTACGCCACCACCTTGGCACAAAAATAAATTTAACTATAATCACAACTTATTCTTCAGCATAAGTACTAGACATTTTTCTTAAAAGAAAACTCAAATTTTCAGTTTTCATTTAACTCAAAAACATACAAACTTAAAAGCAATTTCGACAGAGTGTGATTGTTTTAAACAGCTCTGAAACCATTATGGAATTGCCTCTTGCCAATGGCCGTGCTTATAACAGAGCAGATTCTGAATCTTTGAAGGTGAAAACAGATCTCACAAATATTGAGAAAATTCCTTGACAAATTTTGCCTTGCAAGGAGACTGGAAGGCAAGAGACGAATCAAGACAATAACTTTTCCAGACAGAGCCACAATGGGAAAAAATCAATCATAAGCCGCTGTGTTGGAACATAGGTTTGCAAATCAGTGCTAGCATTAGAGTTAGATATTGCCGTGCCGTATATTCATGACATATAAATCATAAACTTAAAAAGTAGAAGACAATCCCCGACTTTACATACCTTAATTAAATTTGCAACTGCATTAGCACCAACTGGAGTGATCAGACATCCTGCCAAGTTTAATGTGTTTAATTTTGAACAATCTTTCAACGACTTGCAGAGTGTAATGCATGCATCATCTCCGAGGCAAGAGTGTGACAGAGATAAGTGCTGCAGGGATGAGCAGGAGCCAATTGTCTGAAACAAAAAAAGAATTTTTGAAGCTCTTGAAGTTTCAGAAGTGCTGGTAATGAGCTCTGGATCCTTCAAACTGCAGGACGGGGAAAATCCAATATTTTGTCCATTCAAATGATTCGTATAAAATTTTGATACCACACCTCTCCAATAATTTAAACTTAGAGACTGATTTCATGAGGATGAAGCTAGCGCTCAGGACTGCTCCAGATGTGTGCAAACACACTTTCTTTGAGATAAGCGCTTTAAGAGGAATCATCGGTTCGAGAAGAGTGTGAAAGACATTTGATGCTTTCTCAAAGAAGGTCGAAAATGGAGTGCTCAAAGAACCAATATTTTCCCTGATATAGCCCTATTTTTATCTCACTATCTTTTTTTTTGGCATTAGGAGATATCTTTGTAACTAGTAAGAATTTAAAGCATCCATTAAGTCTGGTTCAGTCCTCAAATAGCTCTCTTAAACTCAAATCTACAGTAAATAAATGGTATTTTTACGGATATTTCTTTCGTTGTGTTGTGCCTGGGTAATTTATTGACCATAGAATTTTTCATGTAAATTCGTTTTCCAGAACAACTTGTGCCCTCAAATTTCCCAAAATAAGAGACTTTTCTATTCCTGCGAAACTGATAAATATTAATACTGTTAGAAATCTAGACACAAGACTAGAAACTCTTTAAAATCATTTACCTGGAGAGTCAAAATGTGTGGCTGAATTTTGTACGGATAGAGTAATCTTTCAGAAAGTGGATGTTCTTAGCCACAGCTACCTTGAGCAAACACAATATTTGTTTAGAAAGAGCACCTATGAATTAAATATAGAGTTTGAAGATAGAGACAGCAGGTTACCTCGGCAAGAAGTTTTGTATCATGGCTTAGTAGAGGCAAGAAGTGTAATTTGAGGCATGTAAGGGCTTTTGAGATTTGGAAACATCGGGCAAGGGAGCTAATTAATGAAGATATGATCTTGGGTTGCAAAAATGGAGGAATATTTCTCATAACTAACGCTTTTCTCTTGAAACCTTCTTTTAAAAAAGCTGAAAAAGAATACAAAAGAAGGTAGCTAGTGGTAAACATAGTGATACCAGGGTAGAGCACTGGAGGTGATAAAACGAACAGTAAGCATCTTTGGAACAGTGAAGTCGATTACTTGTAAACATTGATAGATGTTGCAATGGCGCAGCAATTCAGCATGGAAAAAGAGGCGAAACTAAAAAGGTAAAGAGGCGATGATGGAAAGTCTAAGGAAAGAAAGAAAAAATGTGATTGTCATATATGCATCTCCATAACTGTATGCAAAGGAATAGTTTATGTAGAAGGAAAATCATTTTCTTCGTTAGATACCTATCTTGTGACCTACACCTTTTTTTCTAAATTTAATTTTCTTCTTTCTTCATTGACTATACTTATTTCACACATTTCACTGAATGAATAGAGAAAAAGCCAATTAAGTACAAAAGAATAAAAAAAAGGGGAAAATGCATAATTTTGGTTGCAGCGAGTTTCTTTTACAAATATTTGAGAAGGGAATTTATGGACTATGACAGACAAATTTTAATTATTAAGTTATTAGAAAGATAACTTCTGCAGCATTTTTTCGATTGTTTAGACTGTAAAACTGCAGTAAGTCATCACGTACAGCACAGAGCTTACCTGGATTCACTCTGCAGTAGCGGCTCCAAATATAGATGGATTCCAGACTTAGATCCTTGCTTAGAGCTTTGGTAATTAGTTGCCAATCTTCGGATCGCACTCGGTCCCCGCACAGATTTAATTCGTTACATTTGATTGCTTGTTTGATGGCAGGCGATGGATTTAAGCAATGAAACTGGCAGAGATCCAAGTAGTATTTGTAGAAAACATGTCGATTATTATTCAGATTCTTCATGATACCTGATCAAATGAGAGCAAACAATCAAAATTATTTAAACATACACTTGTCAACTTCGTGCAATTAGGAGCTACAATTTTTGGCTCAGTTCAGAGGCAACGTTCGTACCATTCGTCTCTCTATGCATATAAGTGTCTATACAGATGAGCCAGAAATTGTAATTCCTGGTGCACATATACTGCAGGGAAATCAAGGCAACAAATTCCAAAAATTAACATTAGAGAACCTTTTTTTGCTCTAATACTAATTTTTTGCTTTAATGAATTATCCTGCAGAATAGTGTGAACTCAGCACATTTGCACCATCCTGTGTGTTTATATATAATGAAGATAAAATCGATCAGTGATTAGCTCAAGAAGCATTGTGAAAATCATCTCTTGTCTGTGGCTAATCAAAAAAATTAAAGGGCATGTTTTAATGGAGTCATAGTTTTTTTCAAGCTCCTGAATATTTTGGCACACGAAAAAACCTTCTTACATACTTGAGCCAATGTCACATTAGTTGAGTGACTCCCAGAGTGTGACAAAAAATCTGCCATCTTCCTTTTCACATTGGAACTGAACCTATAAATTTAGATGACAGTTTCCTCTACTCACTCTGGGAGGCAGTCAAATTGGAGTAATTGAACTTGAATCAAAATAAGAATCAAGTGGAGCTGAGAGGGTTTAGATGCTTATTTGTCCGATTGTCACCAAGTACTGACGTTAAGCAAGTCTACGTATTTTGATGGTGTAAGTTGGCAATTACATAGCTCGGTTTGCAACATCGCAGACTTCCTGTCATACTTTATTTTTTAAACGGAAAACTACTCGACGGCAATTCTTTGAAACTGCTGTGATTTTTCTTCTCTGAAGAAAATTCTGCATAAACTTCAAGGAAAGATGTCAATTTGTTCTCCTCCTAAAAAATAACATAAAGGCAGAGATTTTTAGACACCGAGATATGTGATTGCAGACTTACGCTGCTTAGAGAAGAAAAATCACCGGAATTTTATAGAATTGAGATAAGTAGTTTTCCACTTGAAAATTAAAGTAGGTATGATAGAAATTCCGCCAACCGAGATATGCCGTCTGGTATCGTTAAGGTACGGAACCTTAGGCGCGTCAGCTCGCGGCGTCCAGGACGCCGCAGAGAGACGCCGATAAATCTGCCTGATGCTTTTGAGTGAGGACGGCACCTTAGCGGTGGAGAGACGCTGCGGTAAACGCCGATGGAGGACGCTCCGATCTGTCGCCAAAAGATCGGAGCGGAGAAGCTGACAAATTCCGCTCATTCCGCTGCCTTTCCTACCGATTTTCAAATGTGTTTAGTTAGACAAGCCTGCGAATCGATCACAAAAGCCGTGAGTTGATCGAAAAAAGCTGTGGATCGATCAACAATCCCTTGAATCGATCGACAATCCTGCGAATCGATCGATAAGAGCCGTGAATCGATCGACCCACCCGTGAATCGATCGACATAAGCCGTGAATCGATCGACATAAGCCGTGAATCGATCGACATACCTGTGAGTCGATCGAGAAACCTACGGGTCGATCGACAAACCTGTGAGTTGATCAACAAACCCGTGAATCGGTCGACCAAGCTGTGAGTCTATTGGTTCACCTTTTGGTTTTCGATCAGTTCATGTCGATTGAATTGATGTCGGTTTTTTTTTTAAATTTTGTCAATCATTTATTGTCGATGAATTCACGTTTTTTTTTTTCCGATTGAATCATGTCGATCGAATCGGCACCGGTTTTTTAATAATTTGTCCATCGAATTTGTGTCCATCGATTCACGTTTTTACTTATCGGTTGATTCTTGTCGATCGAATCCACACTCTCCTAGAAAAAAGCACGTCCAGTCATTTCAGCGGCTCAAATCATCTTGTTCGATGAATGAAAAATTGAGAAATTGACAGCGGACAGAGCGGGAAAAATCCACGAATTCCGCTCCTGAGGTGCCGTGCCCCAAAATGTGAGCGTCTTCTCGCCCTCGACTCGGTAGCAAAGTTTTCCGCCGGCGTTCAGGATGCCGCGGACAGACGCGCCTAAGGTTCCGTAGCTTTATGCAATGTAGATAACGACGGTGAAACTACCAAACCACGTATCTCGTTTGCGGTGTTTAAAAATCTACGCTCACATTTTATTTTTTTGAGGTAGACCAAATCAATATCATTCCTTGAAATTTTCACAGAATTTTCTCCGCACGAAGAGGAAAAATCACAGAAATTTTCAAGACTGGACGTTAAGTAGTTTTTCATTTAAAAAATAAAGTATGACAGGAAGTCTGCGACGTCGCAAACCGAGATACGTGGTTTGGTAGTTTCACCGTCGATAAGTGAAGTACTTCTATGCCTCATAATATCTTCGAGAAATGTTTAAACATACAAACCTCTTCTTTCGTGAAAGATTACTGGAAAAATAATTAGTTAACGAAGACACTCGACATCAAGTCAATTTTTCCAAAGCGACGTTTTCTTCACACGTTCCTGACGAGGTGATGTTCAATGAATTCTTAGACTGCAGTCATATTCAGAGGGTAGATTATACAGACGATTTCATGAAAATTTTTGCTGATGAATGGAAAAATCAAAACAAACAGAGGGAATAAAACAAAGCACGTTCGAATTATTTCGTCGATACTGACAATCTGCGCACAGAATTCAAACTTTTCCTGTCATAGTTCATAGTTTCACTCATGGTTTCACTTTTAGGAGTTTGAATGTTTTATGTTCTTTTAAAAAATCGTGAAAATTTTGAGGTTAGTTTGCATGAAAATATTTTGCTTCTGAAGTTCGAAACATGAACGCTAGGTAGCAGCAACAGCGACGAGAAAATAGCCGCGAAAATTTAAAATTGCGCTCCTGGAGAATTTCATGAGCCGCCCTGCGCCGCGCGCGCCTACAAACCTAAGGGGATACTTCACGCATTGCGCAATGCTTGAAGTATCCCCTTAGGTTTGTAGGCGTCAGTGCGCGTTTCGAGCACTTCGAGCTGGCACCACGCGCGCCGCGCCGCAGCGTGTCTGTTACAATGTAGGCACTTAAATTCAAAATTAGCCATTCAAAAAACATCGGTTACGACACTTTCGTGATCTTTCAGTCATTATCCGACTTATTTCTTCCTATTCTTGAGTTTTGGACCGTAGTGCACCGTGGGCGACGGCGCTCATGAAATTCTCCCCGGTGCTCAATCGTCTTGAGATACGCCCTTGCGCGGTCACTGGCGGATCCAGGACCCCCCCCCCCTTCCTCCTCTTCCCTTCGCCCGAAAGAAAGGAGGAGAAAGAAGCGATGGAAGAAAGAACGAGAGAACGAAGAAATAATAAGGAAACTCGCTTACATATATTAATTATTAATGACGAAATTTACTTTCATGACAAATTCAAAATTTTTGGGGGGAAGGCCCCGGACCCAACCCCCTCTCCGTTACGCCCCCTGTTCGAAGAGTCTGGATCCGGCTATGAGCACGGTGCGGCATCCGAATACAGAGACGTGGGACCTTTATAGAAAGTGCAGGAAGTAATTACTTTAATGGAATACCTACTTTACGTTCGTTTTACCGGTAAATGGCCAAAAATGGTTTCCTAAAAAAAGAATTTTTCATGTTTTTTTAAGCGTTTTTGTGATCATTCTGCTGCTAGGAATTTAGGAAGGAGCGCTGGTCCGGAAAACACTGCTTACCCATTCCCTATACTGAGAAATTCACGAAAATCAACCCGGTAGATTTTTATAAAACGTAAGACAAATACCAGAACTTTGAGAGGTCAAAGAGTTTAACCCTACGATGCCGAAACCGAGCTAAATTGACCTGTAGCTAATTTCTTTTAAAAAAAAAGAAACAAATTTAGTGTCAGGGAATATATTATTCTTGATAACTATCCCCAGAAATCTCAAGCCGGGCCAAACTACCCCGAATATCTCCTCTGGAGAAATTATGGGTCCGGTACATACAAGCTTTAGATGTAGGTCCACAAATACATCCTAAAAAAAAAAAAAAACTGGATATCAAATTGCATGAGAAGAATAGAAAAGACATAGAGTGTCAACGCAGCCTATGATAAAAAAAAGCCGGAACCGGGCCTCGTTTTTCAAATTTTCTCCCCCAGCCGAGCGCCACCTCATTCGAAGCTCAGGACACTGTGCAGAATAATTAAAAATTAAGGAGCAGGAGAAATTTAACTAAATAATAAAAGGTACTTGAATCTACAATATAATGCAAAACAATTTAGAAATCTCGTCATGTAAATACAGAAGATTCGAAAACGCCTTCAATTGAAGCGTCATACCTCACGCGTTCCGGAGAGTTCAAATAGTTGTATCCCTGCGCCTTAGCAAGGCGATGGAAGCTTAATATTGAAGTAGCGTCCCCGTTTGGTTTTTCGGCTTTCCTGTGCCGCTACTGTAGTTTCGACCGTTAAGGCCGTAGTTTAAGGGCGCTAAAGCCAGGGTTGTATTTCGCAAATGGATAGTTTTTGCAGAATAATTAAAAATTAAGCAGTAGGAGTAATTTAACTGAAAAATAAAAGGAACTCAAATCTGCAATATAATGCAAAAAAATTTGGAAAATCTCGTCATGTAAATACATAAGATTCGAAAACGCCTTAAATTGAAGTTTGATACCTCACGCTTTCCGGAATGTTCAAACAGTTATATCTCTGTGCCTTAGCAATAAAGCGATAGAAGTTTAATATTGAAGCAGCGTCCTCGCTTGGTTTTTTGGCTTTCCTGTGCCGTTACTTCAGTTTTGACCGTTTTGACCAGTTTTGACCAGTTTTGACCGCCAGGCCATAGGGGCGGGGAGACGATCGCCCCCTAAAAATTTGCCGCGGAGGTCCCGAAGGGGCCCCCGCGGCGAATTTTTTTCGAGTCATCTTTTTTTCCCCGTAATGTTGTAATTTTTTTTTTTTTTTTTTTTTTTTTTTTTTTTTTTTTTTTTGCAATCACTAAAAGGCCCTGAATTCCTTGAAAATTTGTCTCTAAGAGACATGGAAGGTCCTCAAAAGCATTTGTGATGAAGGGACCCCCGATGAATCCTGAGAATGGGTTTTTCTGAAGTTCAAGTACTGTAGAATCCAACTCCAATAATGCCTACGTGTTTAAATAGTGTGAAATTTTCAAAATTTACCGGGAGAGGGCCTCCGGACCTTCGTAGAGGGACCCCCGAACGACAGGAGGGGTCCTTACATTTAGAACTCCTCCTAACTTTTCGACCACCAGTCCGCCCCTGCAGGACAGAGTGTTAAGAGTTTACGCCTCGCGCCATAGCGCCTTCAATTTTGCAGATGCAACGCGCACATCCATCAAGTATGAATAATTGTATCTCGCTCCTTAAAGAAAGCGCGTCGTTTCCCTTGCTCTATTTCCTCATCATGCATGTCCGTTTCTGTTTGCCATATTTATATTGATACTTTGAGGGCTCCGTAAGTAACATAACTGAAGATAAGAGAGACATAGTCGAAACTCTTTTTTTTATTTTTCTCACGAATTCGAGCGACGCTTCATTGGCAGCATAAAGCTGGACAGGGCACGAATTTAAGCATTCTGATGTTTTTTAACCAGAATTTCGCATGGAACACGATTCTCATTCTGAAAGTTGCAGAAATCAACTCCTAACCAAGATATTAACATTTTTATTCACATTGGTTACGGAAAATTTGAATTGCCCGGTCACAAGAAACGCAATACTCTCCGTGAGTAAAAACGCGCGCATCTCAATCGAGCAATGTTCCCTCTTCATTCTGCGTTGTTGTTCAGAGCGCGATTTGACTCACGGAGACTATCAAGTTTTCATTAGCGGGAAGTTTAAAGTTACGCGTCAAAAACATTAAACATATCAGTTAGGAGTTGATTTTAGTAATTTTCATTTCCCGAGTTGGACGTATATCTGTCGAACGGAACTAAGCTTCAATTTGAGTTCCATTTGAGGAATTTAGAATGCCGGATAGCGCGTTCTGTCAAACGGAACTAAGCGCCATGGAAAAGCATTGCGAGTATAGGACGGAATGAGCCCGACGCCCGATTCCGCCGCTAATCCAAGCCCCCCTCTACCTTCCTCCTCCAATGGCGCTTAGTACCGTTTGACAGAAATACGTCCAGTTGTGCTCAACGCGAAATTTTGGTTTAGAAACATGTATCAGATTGCTTAACTTCGTACCTTATCCAGTGGTCCATTGCGAATCACGCCTCGCGCCATCGCGCCTTCAATTCTGTAGATACCACATGGACATCCGTCAAGCACGAATAGTTGTATCTCTCCGCCGTAAACAAAGCGCGTCATAAGAACAGCCCCGGGCGGTTCGCAGAGGTGTCCTTCGAGGGCGTAGTATTGTCCAAATTTCCCTTTGTCCGGAATCGCAGAATTGACCTATCCTCAGAGAATTTTAATTAGTTTTAATTATAATAATAGAGCGTTCTTCAAGAAAATATTTTATTCAATGCTTCTTTTTATGATTTCTTTCTTCTTCCTCTTCTTCTCTTTAAACCTAGGACGAACGCATATCCCTGTTTGTCTGGCTATTGTCTCACCAGATAGTTCGTCGTTTCCCTCACGAAAGAACGTAACTATATTTCAATGTTGCCAAATTTTCTGTCAGATATTGCATTTTTACTTGGAGAATCTGGGATATTTTTTACTGAAAATTTCACTGATTTTTCCTCTGATCTCATTCAAAGATCAGAACAGTTTTGGACGAAAATCCCATAAGTACTTTCTCGTAAACAAATTGATTGTTTGAGTCAATTTGACAACCTTGGAATGGACTTTCGTTCTTTCGTCCGGGAGACGACGACTTATCAAAATAGATTTAAAAAAAGTTTTGCGCTTAAAAACGTTTAGCATTTGAACGGACAGTCACGTTAAAAACATACGATGTCCTCCAACCCACTTCCCCACAATTTTTGTCCACCTCCACCCCTCGCTGCATTGACGCCCATGTTGCCGCACTGAAGAAGAACGCCATATGAACATTCGAGAGTTGCCAAATTTCCTCCGATATAATGTTTATTTCTGAGGAAATTTATAAAGATTTTGCCTTGGCATTTTCAGACGCTTTGGATCAAAGTACAGACAAAATTACTTGAGAAATTAGAGGGAAAATGTTCACAAATTTGCCTGTAAATTAGTGATTTGTAGAAGGAAATTTGACAACGCCTGAAGGCTCATACGGCGTTCTTCCTTAGCAGGAAGCGTGGTACTGTATGATTTCGATAGAGAGCCATCCGCGGCGTCAAAACGCGAAACTGAAATATGCGGATCCGTCGAATCCAGCGCAGCCCGTTAAAAAAATGTCATTGTGGCCACGGAAAGGCACGCGGAGAATCGCAGCCCCTCCCCCTCCCCGCCCTCGCGACGCACGGGGCGCGGGGCGGCTCGCGGGGGTGAAAAAGGTCCGAAGGATGCGAAGCACCGCGGTATAAATAAGGAAAGAGCGCCGAAACGTGTCCCGGACCGGCCGGGGCGAAACGAGGCCTGAAAATATTCATGCGTCCCCTCTGCGTTTAATTTATCGGTTTATCAGATCATTATTCCGGCGGCTCTTATCGGTTAATTGATTGCATTTTTTTTTATCGGCCGGAATAAAACAACGCGGAGCGCCGATAACCGCGGCGGAATACCTGGGCCCCGGCTCAGCTGTAATCTGCATACCTGGCCGGGTCCCCCTCGCCACCCCGTCTCCGCGGGGGAGGGGGCGCACACTTCGCAGACTGGTCTCCGGCTCCAGCCCCGGCCGCCGGGGCCAGTGCGTTCTGGAGCGGCGGACCGAAGAGATGTGGTGGCGCTATGTCGCTCGTGGCGCGTGTCTTTTTCACGAGTGTCTTCTCCGCGAGTTCATTCTTCGTCTTCGCTGAGCCCTCGACGCGGCTCGGCCGCAACTGCGAGCCCATCCGCGTGGACCTGTGCAAGGGTCTCGGCTACAATGTCACCGCCATGCCGAACCTCGTCGGGCACGAGCTCCAAGGCGACGCCCAGTTCACCCTGGAGACCTTCAAGCCCCTCATCCAGTACGGCTGCTCAGCCCAGCTCCACTTCTTCCTGTGCTCCGTCTACGTCCCCATGTGCACGGAGAAAGTCTCCACCCCCATCGGGCCCTGTCGGAGCCTGTGCGAGTCTGTTCGGAGTCGGTGTTTCCCGGTTCTGCAAGGGTTCGGGTTCCCGTGGCCGGCGGCCCTCAAGTGCGCCAAGTTCCCGGAGCAGAACAACCACGAGCACATGTGTATGGAGGGCCCCGGGGAGGCGACTGCCGGCTTGGCGCCGGCCATCCCTCTCTTGCCGACCATCCCCAGGATCCCGCTGCAGGACGATGGACCGCGGCTGACGCCGTGCTCCAAGTACGCGCGAGCCAACTCCTACGTCTTCCTCAACGGGACCGGGCGCTGTGCTCCTCTTTGCGACGCGGATGTGCTGTTCACGCGGACGGACAAGACGCTAGCCGGGGTTTGGTTCTCGATCTGGGCCGGGTTGTGTTTCTTTGCGTCGCTGGTGGCGTTGTTGACGTTCCTGGTGGAGGCGAGGGATGAGCGCGCGCGGTCTTACTACTTCCACCACCCGCAGGTGTGTTTGGTGTTGTGCTATAACTTGGTGAGTGTCGGGTGGGGGCTGACGGCCATCCTGGGTCATACGCGCGTCGCGTGTCATCTGGAGCCGGTGGATCCGGAGAAACTTTTGTTGGCCCAGTACGGGTCCGGAAAAGCTGCTTGTGCTCTCGTTTTCTTCTTCCTTTATTTCTTCGGAACGGCGTCGCTAGTCTGGTGAGTTTTCTACGTTCCTTTGCTTTCTGGATTGCGTTCACCGAAAAAAAAGGTGCACGGAAAAAAAATTGCTGATTCAACAATTCAATTGCTAAAAACAGTGAGTGCAATGTTTCAACGCAGATTTTACAACAAAAAATGCTACTTTAACCACATTGTAAACTAATTTAACCACGGGGGTGGTTAAAGTAGCATTTTTTTGTTGTAAAATCTGCGTTGAAACATTGCACTCACTGTTTTTAGCAATTAAATTGTTGAATCAGCAATTTTTTTTTCCCGTGTGAAGTTGCGATGTAACATTCTGGATGTAAAAAAAGTGTGAGAGAACTTATGAAATGCTGAATTGCCCGCGACGGTAGTTTCTTCAGCAATGCCGAGATGTAAAAGTAACGAAGGTGGCAGGTAATTTAGCATTTTATTGATCCTCGCAATTTTTTTCATATTTAGAATGTTAAATCAACTTCACTTTTTTTTCGGTGTTCCGCAAGAATGTCATTTTTTACACGTACTGAGCGCATCAAAATTAGAGAGCGGAGTCAAACACCGGGCTAATTTTTAAAATTCGTCGTTTTCCCCACGAAAGAACGTAACTACATTTCAATGTTGCCAAATTTCCCCTCGCAAATCGCAGTATGTATCTGGAGAATCTTGGGCATTTTTAACTGGAAATTTGATTTTTTTTTCCGATTTCATTCAAAAATCACACGTATTTTAGATACAATTTGCACAAGTATACTCATGGAAAAAATTGGATTGTTCTATCGTTCAATTTCGCAACCTTAGATTTAAGTTACGTTCCTCCGCTCGATAAATGACGAATTCATGGACGAAGGAAAAAAATGGAAAATGGAGTGCTCCTATTGGTTGAAACGGGTGGTTTTTATGGAATATGATGATAAATTCTTGACAAATTATGAGATCCCTCGCGAGTTGCCCTCATTTAGACCATAACTTAACCTCCTTTTTCCATTTACAACCGTCCGCCTCCACCGATAGAATCGCTTCATGCATTTTCCATTTGTCTTCTTTGTCTATCGCTTTGTCTATCTAGTTCAATAATCGGCCCGCTGCACTATGGTAGAGGAAAAACACATGAATGCACATAAAAGACAAAGTCGGGCAGAAGGATACAACTCTTCCGCAAATAGACTTGGCATATAAAATGAAATTTTTATTGCATGTAGCATGTGGCAAAACAAGTTTAATGTGCATGAAAACTTCGGAAAAGATTTCTATCGGCAAATTAGCGATAATATTGAGTTGTGGATAGCTGATAGAACTGAAAAATGTTCCTTCTTTACATTTGAAACAAAACATGTCACTAAAATTTTCTTACGTTCGTCGTTCTCTGTAACGCAACAAAACAAGTAGAAACATGTTTCGATGAAATTCTTGAAAAAGGAATGTATTGTCCTGACCAGGATTGAGCGTGCAAAAAATTGGCAGAAACAGTCGCTCGCAATCAGGAGTGAAGTCGGGAGAAAGAAGGGTATAAAGAGAGAGCACCGCTCCAGTCTGGTATTTAAAACGGCAATCGTGTTGTGTTGTCACTCCATACACTCCCCTGCATAATTAATCACGGGACAAGGCATTTTGATTCCGGCGTCTGATTACATTCGATCCTTATTTTATCTTTCTTGCTTTTCAATTGTACTCCTCACTCTCCATCCTTTCAAACAATGAGTCCTCTCTGTTTCTGTGAAACTGAGTCGAGAACACGATACCAAATCAGGAAAGAGTTTTTGACGGTCAAGGATGTGATTTAGCGCAATGCTACTTGGAATAAAGCGAAAAATTGGCAACGCACCGCCGTTTCTTTTTTGAAGGCAGACTTATCAAGAACATCCAAACATATACTCAGAAAACTGAAGAGTGGAATCTCAAAATGATATATTTATGCTGAAAGGAACCATGTTGCACGCAAAATTTATACATAGTTCCTTTTCGCATAAATACATCCAATTGGACATATTAAAATAAAAAGGACCTTTTTGTGGTATGAGCCCTGAGACCTATAAGAATCCATGCATGATAAGGCCCGGGCCGCAATGGAGATAATCTCTTTTGATTTACATATATCCAAAAACTCTTAAACTGGATCGAGAGCTACAAAAAATTTACATGTTGTTTGTTATCGAAGAGGAACGAAAATGCCCTCGCTTCGAAATTTTCGATGAGAAATTCCCTTTGATCTCCGCTCTTAATTTTGCAGCTATTTAATAACTGGTAACGGTACCAATTAGGTTTTAAATGGATCTCATCTTGCAATAGGAGCTAATATTTCCGGTTCATCCATAAAATCACCAATTTACATCGGAAAACTAATGACAAGTATGTTGTTCCTAAATTGAGCTAAAAATATAAAGTTTCTTATTCCAGAATTTTATCCAAATATCGGTGTCCATAGTAAAAAAAGCGTTTTCTAGTTCTCGACGTTGCAAAGTTTCCGCCATAGTTCGTTTCGTAGTTTGAAAACTAAAAACTGATCTGAGCAATCACCTACAGCAGTCCGAACTGATATTCGTCACTTAGCTGGATTACATTTTGTTTTCAGGAACCACAGTTTCTATAGCTCAGTTTATAAACAACGTAAATACCATTAATTTCCCTACGCACATGCGTGCATTTACGAATGAGCTAGAGATTGTCGTTCTTAATTGCAAAATGAAGTCCAGCTTATGAGAGGCGTATCCAACTGCCCGTTAACATCCACGTAGATCCCGGTTATTCAGGGCTCATACGAGGATGACTTACGTTCTTTCGTCATCAGAAAGGAGATTCAGGAACTCAGATCTCCTATGACAAGTGTGGAGCCGTCAAAGGCGAGTGTCATCATCGAGAATTACGAGCCGGCGGCGGGTTTATTAATGTGCCGCGAAAGGGTGACGAGGGGGGCAGGGGGGTTGAAAAGTGGAAAATGGACAACTATATTGATGTTCCGAAGCAGCCAATAACAGATCACGGCATCTCTTAATTCATTTCGTCCTCGGCTCCGTCACACGACACCTCAACACCCGACGCTCAACACTCAACATGGTCAACACCCTGACTTCTCCGTATCTCCGCATGCTAAGGAAGACCGCCGTAAGAACCTTCCGGAGTTGCCAAATTCCCTTCGATAGAACACGGATTTTCCGGGAAATTAGTTAATATTTTTCTTTCAATTTTTTAGAGTATTCTATCCCCGATATAGGCTGGAGTACCTGAAAATTTCAAGGGAAAATATTCGTAACTTCCGTTTTCAAATTAATACTTTATCTGTGGAAATTTGGCAACGTTTGAATGTTCATACGGCGATTTTCCTCGGCCGGCGGATCCGATCGCAGTCCCGGCGAATGCGATACGCATTATTAATTCGCGGACATCGGAAATCAATTTAGCTCCCGATCGTGGCAAAAAACGCAGATCTCCATCAGCGCAGCGATTCGCAACATTGTTTCCCGCCTATTTAAATCCGTGCAAATGATCGATTCCGAGCGAGGTGGCCTGTTTCGATCGATATCGATTATTTTGCCGGCGTTGAAATGGGCGGAGCCGGGTGTAGCCAACCTGTAAAAATCATCACGGGTTGGAGTTAAGTGGTTCTCGCCGAGTTGAGGATATCTTCCATGTCTCAGCCTGAGCTCAGTTCATTTACATTAGCTGGAATCTCTCTATGCCATTTTATGTCTTCGACTTCACCCATTTCGTTGTATTTGCGACCGTTGGTGTGCGGTATTTACGTGAGGTGTACATCTGATTTGGACGGATTCTTGACTAAAATCGACCTAACCGCATTTTACGTTGCCTCATTTTCTCAAATGCATGTTTTTAATTTCATTAACAGAGAACTGAGCTACTATGAACGCTTTTAAACATTTCGTGAATATGCCCTAGACTGTGCAGAAATGCAGAATGTGCACACGAAATTTCATGTTTTAGTGGTGCTTGGATTTCTGTTCAAAACTTAATCAAAATGCTCGAATATTATGCTTTACTTAACCATAGCTGGGCATTGGCGGATCCAGCAAATTGGCAACATTGTTATCCTCCATTTAGACCTATAGAAATGTATCGATTCTTAGAATGGCCAGGTGCTCGATAGTAATCGATTATATAACATGGTTTAAATTGAGGGAATTCGGTGTTGTCACTTTGCTGGATCCGCCTTTGCAGCAGGGCTTTAAAGCGAAATCATTTTCAATAAGCTGTGGCGCGGCATTGATCATTGGCTACCTATTCATATTTCCCCATCTGAAACTACGATAAAAAATCGATTTTCAAAGCGTTCGTTGCAAACACCATGATAATCGATCCTTTACTATAGGTTTAAGTGGAAAGGATCAATCATTTATCGACGCCGCGTCACTTACAATACGTTATTGCCTATTGAAGTATTGACTACTTTCTTATCCTTGCGTTTAAGTCTCCAAAGTAGTTGGGCCTAATCAGCAGCAGAATAGCGACGGAAGGGTCTTTTTAACTTTAGATTCGACGATCTTCCAACTGGACAACTCGATGTGTGGGCAATGCTGCCGTGCTAAGGTACAGCGCCGTATGAAACTTCAGGCGTTGCCAAATTTCCTTTGATAAAACATGAATTCCCTGGTCAACTTCTGAATATCTTCCTTCCAATTTTGCACATAATTTTGTTCGCAATTTCACCTAAAGCTCCTGAAAATTTCAGTGGAAAATATACATTTTATGTACGGAAATTTGGCAACTATCGAATGTCCATACTGCGTTCTTCCTTAGCACGGCAGAATATTGCCTAAGCATTTGACAAAATGCCTGATTCTACTATTTGTCCGCGACAAAAACATGGAAAACTCAAGAGCTCTTCGTTAAAAACAAACATAACTTCGTAAACCATACTAGAATTTGACTATCGGTCGTTCCAGTTGATAAAACGCCTGATTCGAAAATTTGCCTGTGACACACACATCCTCAGGCAATTTTTTCCTCGTAACTGATCGTGATGAGATGGTCGCCTCATTTGCTTTCCTTCTAATAATTTGTCT